CCGTGCGCTGGACATGAGTTTCGGTTGCTGTTGTTGTTGTTGCTGCTGCTGCTGTTGCTATTTCTTGTCTCGCAGTTTCGTAAATATTGTTGGCACTTTGTCTTAATTGCTTAAAAATTACTGACATGGAAAATGAACTTGGCAACGTTGCGCACGTTCCAACGTTGAGAGCGCAGAGCCAGAGCAATAGAAACAGCAGCAGAACGAGTTGTGAGTGAGGCGTGGGTGTTGGAGTCGGAGGCGGAGTTGGAGTTGGTGTTGGTGTTGGGTGGGTTAGGCTGGAAGATGCCTGTCGACGACTGTTTGTCAACGAGGCGGCTGCTGCTGTGTTGCTGCTGGTCGGTAACGACAAATACTTGCAAATATTATTATTATTGTAGTCGAATTTCCAGCAACTATTTATCATGCGGGCGCAACAGCCCCAAAGGGCAGCCCAACAATCGTTTGACAAACTTAATTTATTAATGTACAGACGCTTGACAACAAGTAAATGGCGGAGATTGGGACGGAAACGGCAGCAATGGCTACAGCGGAGGCTGTATTCACACACACACACACACACACACACAGACATACACACACACAGTCGAGTCGTCTTGCTTAAAAGCACATTAATTTTCATTCCATTTGGTGATAAGTAAAAGCTGGCTTTGAATTCTATTTTAAATATCAAGTGACAACTAGCAAATACTCGTAAAGTATATTATGCCTTGGGTTGGCTTGCCTTTGGCAGGAAGTCCAGGGAATTTTCTCGTAATTGTTTCATCATGGAGCAAGCTTCACTCGACCCTTCCGCCCCGGCGACCCCTCGTGCCCTATGTCGCCTCACACAATGAGTTGCCATTGAGGCAGAAACGTAGCTGTCATGCAGCTCATTTGCATACTTTTGAGTGGCGCTCATCATAATATGAAATAGGGCATGCCTCCTCTACCCCACCCTCGCCCCGCCCCCCGCACACTTCATGGCAGCATCTTCAATTTCTTGGCGTCCAGCTGACAGGCAAATACCGTGGCAAAAATGAGCCTCAGTCGACGTCGACTTGGACTGAGCCCTGAGCCTGGGCAATTTCAACTGAATGCCACTGATTGATATGCATGCGAAATCTAAGCATCACTTGGCTTTATTTATTGACAGGCAATTTCGGTTCGCAGCCAGCATTTCAATTTGCCCAATTGACAGCCAAATCAGCGCCCAGAATTATCTAAGTCCAATAGTGGTGGCAATAGGCAAATGTGAATCGATGTATACCTGTTAGAAACTGGACAATGTTGGGAGAGAGAAACTAGGCATATGCAAGCAGGTAAACTATTGAATGGAAATTGGTTGTGAATTGCAAATTTGTCAGAGTAACATAAAATGTATGTAAGATTTAAGATTTCAAATTTCCAATTAATTCTAAAAAAATTGATAAGGGTTGTGAAAAGTATAAACTGTAAGACGAATTTAGGTTAGGACAGAGAGAGAGAGAGAGAGAGAGAGAGAGGGAGAGAGAGAGATTAGCAATTTCTTAATTTACTGGTTAGAATATATAGAATACCATACTTACACTCCCTTTCTTCTTATTAAAAAAAAAAAAAAAAAAAATTGTATTTATTTATGAAAATCTATTTGTCCATCTGCCCATTAGTCAGCATCTGTTATGACTACTTCATTTTTTTTCTAAGCCTCGAAGCACTTCATAACATCAAAGCAACTTGATCTAATCTTGCAATCTTCCCCTTCAATGCCATCTTTATCTTCTCAATCAAATTGTAACGTTTGTCTTTAATGGGAAATCAATGAAAAAGGTCCCAGGGGGCCAAGGTTGAGGCTAAGCCGCAGCATTGCTGTTGTTCTGGTTATGAAATTAGTTACAGGCTCTTTTTTGTTGTATTTAAGAATGGGCAAAAATCGTAGATGAACCAAAACAGCTGTCGAAAATTAAGTGAGCATTCAGAATGCCTCAACTTTCATCGATATAAGTGAAGGATATGAGACATATGCTACATAAAACTCAAAATTCGTAAATTTGTTCTTAAATCGAGAAAATTAAAAATAGACAATATTTCCTCAGCTCGAATTTAAATAATATAATAGATAAAAGTTTAAGTAGAAAAGTAATAAAGTATAAACAAATTGTTCTAACAGCTCCTCATCTATATGAGAGCTACCCATTTGATAATATTCAAGCATTTCTCACTTAAACTGTGACCTTTAATTTGCTCTAAATATGTTCGTCAATCGTCTTCGCTCCATCACGTCCACCCACAACACTTTTAATTCATTTAATTGCACCCGCTGCATATCAATATAAAATTGCATACTGTTTAAAATCTCGTCTGGTGTCCAGCCCGCAGCCAACTGAATAAATAGATAGATGCATCAATTAGTGCAAAACTAATAACAATTTACAAATCCCAAGCTTAGTTTTAATGAGCTGCAACTGGTATGCGCATACGCCGCGTGCGCATAAAAATAATTGAAATTGCCTGTGCGTAACTAAAAAATAAATACAATTTGTTGCACATACATATATGGGAGAGTATGTGTGTGAGTGTGTGTGTGTGCGAGTTTGTTTGTATTGTATTTTACATAATTTATTGTTGGTTTGGCGCTGCGGCCGCTGCTTTGTTTTTCTGGCTGGCTGCGCTAATTGAAACCACCAAATAAGTTGGAAACACATTTTGACCCGCAGCTTAGCCAATTAATGACCCAATGACATGTTGTCCCATGCAAAAATTGTGAAATTCTAACGGCAGTCAACTGCAAGAGCGAACAATATGGCATTGAGCATAGGCCCTGTGGCATGGCCAACAAATTGTGGCTCAAGCGGCATTGCTGCTGCTCCTGCTCCTGCTGCTGCTGCTCCAGCTGCTGCTGCTCCTCCTCCTCCTGCTGCTGCTGCTAATTTGGGGTGCGCTAAGTGTTCATTAAATGCACTGCAACGGCTGCTGTGGCTGTGGCTGCTGCTGCTGCTGCTGCTCCGGCCCATTGCATTAATTTGCGCACATTACGTATACGCGCCGTGCGCCAGTGTGCATTTAAGTGTGCCAAGCATACTTGTATATGTTTACTTTTTTGTTGTTGTTGTTGTTGTCCCCTATTGTCGTCAACTGCAGCTGAAATGAGCTGACATTGAGGCATTGCCTTGAGCACTTCGCCTAATGAATATGCCTAACAGCCACAAAGATCCAACTAAATGCCGATTGGGCATTGGATTCGCTTTTCAAAGGCTGCCAATGAAATTCATTTCGTTTACCGTTTGTAGTGTTGGCTGAGTTTGGATATGGGTTTGGGTTTGAGTTTGGGTTGGGGCTTGGATTGTGTTGTCGCTCCACTCAATACGATTGATTGATTGAAATGTTTGCAGCAAATTGATTGATGATATGCAGCGAGCCATGCTACATGCCCCATACGCTTCAATAAGTGAGAATTTATTTTAAATTGATATAGCCATAATGTGGCAGGAGGCGAGACGGCCAGCTGGCAGCCACGTAGTCAGGCAAGCGTAAACACAGCCTATGGATTTGTCAACCCTAAATGGCAAAGCATATTAACAGCACACACACACACACACACACACACACACACACACACACACGTACACGTACACTTCGACACACACATACACATATACACAGTCACAGCCACACGCACTGGATTTCAACTGCGCGACAGTTGGACGCGGTTTCTGCTTGCTGGGCATATATCGATTGTGAACAACAGCTGGCTGCTCACTGTGAATGGTTTTGTGAATTGGTTTTGAATGGAAATCGCATTTCACATTATGTCAAAGCGGCTCTCTAAATCAAATTGCTAAGCTAGGGCAAAGCTAATAATAGCTTCAATTATATTTGCAAATATCACAGCAAATTTGAAAGGATTCGTAAGGCTTTCGGTTGCCCTTTTATAGAAAATATTTGCTTGTGCGACACAAATGGGCAGAATATATAAATAAATTAGTATTTTAGAAATACTTTAAAATTTGAATTAAGAAAATGTTCTAGTACATACTTTTTCTCATGTCAATTTAGTTTTCTAAATTTTTGCTGATTAACAGACAAGAAATGAAGTAAAGAAGAAGAATAATAATATAAATCGACAAAAGACAATTATCAACAAATGATTTACTATATTAAGAATTGAAATACAAAATATTTTTTTTTTTCTATTTTTATGTTAGTTAGTTTAACAACACTTTTTATATATTTTTTCATAATTGAGTTAAAGAATCCGTATTATTATTTTTTAAAACAACTTTTGCTATACACAATTTTTTAAAATTTATTTTTCTTGTACAAATTTTCATGGTTAAAAAAATTTTGTTTTATTATTAATATTTTTTTAAAGAAATAATAACAAATGATTCAAGTCTGATAGAAAATATATGTAAAAAACTTCTCTCATTATAATATATTTTTATATTTTATCCATACATAAATTGCACAAAATATTTTTTTCTCTGTAAGCCAGCCACAAATTTGATCTTTTCTGTAAACATTTTTTATATAGATATTTTATCGTTGCTGTGGCAACTTAAAAATGTTTATTTTGACCCTTTCTCCTAATTTGATGAATTCTAAAAATATTTATCTAGGGCATTTTCAATATATCCTGCACATTATTCAAGTGCTTGCACGTATTCCCTTTGCTTTATTTATTTCGTGTTTTCTTTTTTCTTTTTTTTTTTTTTTTTTTTTTGCTATGTGTCTTAATGTGCGTTTCGTTTTGTTGCCAAGTGGATTTGTAAAGAGATTTGACATGCTAAAAACTTGATTGATTGATTTGCTCAGCTCACACACACACACTCGCACACACATACATTATCGTTCACATATTGACAGAATACAGCCACGTTTTTTTTTTTTTCAGTTCCCCGTCTAAAAATTGTATCCAGCCTTGTTTTACACGCCGCTTACAAGTGGATTTTGTGGGTCGTTTATCAAAATGTGTTGATTTTTACTTGTGTGTGTGTGTGTGTGTTTTTTCTGGTCGAGTTTCTCTTAATGTAATTACTTACCGATCGACAGCAATGGCAACCAGATGCAAAATCGATGCCGTGCAGCAGAGGACATCGCATGAGGTCCAAATGTCGCACAGCTCCGGTCCAAGAATCCAGCCTTGGCTGATCTGTGAGTGCGATAAGCAAACAGATAGAGAGAGGCAGGGACAGAGGGAGAGAAAGAGAGAGAGAGAGAGGGCACATCAAGTTATGGCTAGGGGTCTCCAAGTGCCAGTGAAAAAGACAATAAAAGTTGATGGCTTATTAAAATTGATGTCACGCTGGGGAGGAGTTCAAGCGAGGCCTGACCATAATGTCATCTAATAACTGTGCAAACAACGATTGCACTGTCCTTAAATGGCCAAAGCCTTCGCCCCGCTGGGCAGGACGACAATTGAGCGTAGCGTTGATGCCTTGACTGTTGTTGTACGTTCAAGCTTTTGTTCGGCCAGCAAAACTTGAGCTACATTTTAGACAGTGCTTGCTGAAAGCCTGTGTCTAGTGGTACTTAAAAATCGATAAAAAAAAAGTGTTCCGATAAGCGATTGCTGAGCTTTAAACTTGGAGTCGTTTATAACTTTAATTTAAATTTAAAATGTTTAACTGGAAAAATATTATTTTATGATTGCCATATTTATTTTTTTTATATCGATTATTGAGCTAGCTGCCATCGAAAATTGAAAATGTAGTATTTATATGCACAGTAAACTATCGATAGACTTTATCTCCAATTTATCGATTTTGTTATGGAAGAACCTAAATATCCTCTTTTAGCAAAAGCTATAAGCTATTGAAAATGTATTGATCTTAAACTTGTCTATCGATATGCTATTTATCTGAAACTTGTCGATTTTTATCGATAACCTTCAATTAGTTATTGTAAATCTAAAACACTCATTGATAACTGCTAAAATTACAGATAAAATTATCGATATATTGTTGCTTATTTTCGATAGTCTCCATATAATGTCTACAGTCAACACAGACTATCTTGGACAAAAATCGAAGTCTTAGGTACTAGATAGATAGATAGATCGTGAAAAAATTATGAAAATATTGATAGTATCAAACTATGATTTTACTATCGATAGTTTTGCTATAGAATTTATATAAATTGAGTATATCTCAAATTGAGCTGCTTTCAAATCAATAAATTAATTATTTCTAGCAAGTAACGTAATTAAACCTGTCTGGTTTTTATCGATAGATTGTTTACGTCTATCAGTATGCCAATAGTTTAGAGAGTTTGGCATGTGAGATTACTTTCTCTGCGTATCTTTTATATTAAGAGCTGTACATTATACAACTGTCGAATGCTTCGATGAGCTAATCGATAGTTTGCCCCTTAAACTAATCAAGCCAAGTCTCTAATGGGTTTGGCATGTTGAAATTTGACTTTGAAGCCAACAGCTAAAAACTCTTAAGCAACTTAATTAGCCATCAACATGAGGGACCAATTTGTTATAGTTGAAGTTAAGCTAAGAACTGGGGTACTCACCTCATAGACGGCGCCAAGGGGCATCACGAGGCAGGCCACAAATAGATCAGCCACGGCCAGTGAGGCAACCAGATAGTTGGCCACATTCTGTAGATTGCGCTCCAGTATAATGGCAGCTATCACAAAGACGTTGCCTGCAATTGTTGAGGAAGTTGTACTAATTCTTTAGAGTGAGACATTGATAGCGGGGTGAGAGAGAGAGAGAGTGAAAGAGTGAAAGAGATGTAAAGGAAATGCCAATGACAGCTGCACGAACTGTTGCCAGTAGATGAAGCTGCTGCTGCTGCTGCTGCTGTTCAGCGAACTAATTGCGAAAATTGACTTGAGCGCAAAGTTTTCAATTCAATTAAGTACGTTGGCAAGTCAAATTTAAGCGCAGCTGCAAACCGAAACCAAAGTCGAAAGCGCAAACGAATGGTACGAGTACGAATGCACGTAAACCTGAAGAAAAATTGAAAGGAAAATGCATTGAGAGCGACAAACGACTATGGAATACTCTAACGGCCGTGAATGAGTTTAAAAAATATACATATATTTATTTGTGAGTGAAACAGTCTAAAATAAAATATAAATATATATATGACTTGTATGAGGATAAGAAAAAAAAATTAATAAAGAGAACTTGGGCTTGCGAATCTGATATCAAAAAGATCTGGCTCTTACGGCAGAGTATATAAATAGTAGTTAGACCTAACACTATTTCTAGAGGAGGTTCGAACTAAAGCTGAGTCTAGCGTAGGTGCTTCGAGCTATAGCTGAGTATTCAGGCATCTAGGTTATATACCATCTCAAGCTGTGTAGGTCTAGGTCTATGTCCGAGTCTAGGCTCACTTCTAAGACTTACTCTTGGAACCATTGTCTAAAGAGGCTAAAGAGGAGCTGAACTCGCAATTTTAGACCCTGAACTAGCTCTGGAGCACATTTAAAGCTGAATCTAGGTAATTCCAGGAATTATGCCATGTGATAAATCAGAGTGTTATATAAGATGAAGTCTAGCGTAGTAGCTGAGTCTAAAGAAGCTTACAGACAAGCCAAAGTATTTATAAATCGACACAAACGCTCTAGACTCATATAAAATGATATGAATGCATAAAACATCCTATGTTAAACAACTGTCAGCCCCTTCCACCTTAAATTCTTCCTTTATTTGTTACAAATTCCGCGACATAGTTATAATACCATTGAAACAAGTGTATAATGAAAACGAAACTCAAACGAACGGAATAAAGTTTGTGAGAATTACGAAAGTTCTGCGCCGCAGAGCCGTGTGGCCAAACGAAATGGGAATCTTATTAAACTTGGCTGCTGCTCGAAGCTCGCTGAGCTGCTGCATTATAACACATTTAAAGGGGCAGTGAAAGGCAGAGACAGAGAGAGAAAGGAGAGAGAGAGAGAGAGAGAGAGAGAGAGAGAGAAGGAAAGTGAATGAGACAGCAAGAGGAAACGCGCTCACTGTAACCGAATATCAGTGCACAATTGCCAACGTAGTTTTGCTCTGCCACGCCACATCGCGCCCCACTCGTGGCCCTTTTTGCTCTTGCCACATTCTGTTGCACTTGAGCCGATGCCGAGTAAAGTTCACCAAAGCCAAAATAAACGACATGAGCTAATCGCGTTGTCGTAAACTTTTTGCGTCCGACATCCCATTTGACTGTGTGGGCGTGGCACTATTGACAGCCAACACTGGCGCCACCTTTGATGTGAAGCCAAAAGCTGTCTATATACATATTACATATATCTTTTATATATATATATGTGTATATGTGTGTGTATGTGTTTGTGTGTGTGTGTGTGTATATATTATTTTTCTTGTGCGCCCGCTGTCAGAACTACTTGTGGCACACTTGAAAGCTGCAGCAAAAGAATTGCGCCCAACACATGCAATTTGTGGCACATAGCAACACACACGGACACCTGTCAGGTGCGCCGACAAAGGAATACACATGCAATTAGACACTTCAGTGTCAAAGTGAAGGCAAGCCGAGGGTCTGCCGCGCGTTGTTTCACTCTCTATCTCTATCTCTTTCTCACTCTCAGCGTGTGGCTGTCTGTCTATATTTCTTGGTGTTGCTGCCTGTTGAGGGTGACGCTTAAAGTTGTCAGCTGAAGCGAAAGCCAAAGCCAAAGCCAAGCCAGGTAATGCCAGGTAAACCTAACTTTACTTTATACACATTTTTGAGGCATATACACCCATACATATATATTTGTATTGTAAGAAATTTAACTCCAGTGAAATGTATGTAATAACAAAATTTGTGTTGTTATTTATATAAGTTGTCCAAGTTGGGCGGAAGAAAAGTAGCTGATATATAAATTTAATATCGAAATATAATATCTAGGCTTAAATAAAATTATAGGTCAAGCAATGAATATACATGAGACTACAGATATGTATATACATTCATTATATACATTCGTATATACATTCATTCATATATTCTTAACCTTTAGGGGTGTTCTTAGCTACCTTCATTTTCATTTACTATATAAGATTGATATGGATATATCTATATATATTTTTTATACACGTTTCGCATATCTGCTGCCAATCGCCTGACTTTGCCTGACCATTGAAAACTTTCCACACAGTTTAATGCTGCAGTTCAAAATAAATGAAATCAGCTCAAATGATCATTGGCTGTAAATAGCAAAATCAATTTAAGCTTAAGCACATTAAAAATAAAAATAAAATCAAATTAAATATACATATAAATCAAAAGTAAATCAATTCGAAATAAATGAGTTTGAAGAACGTTTCAATTGATTAACAAATTAAAAAGTAATTAAGTGCACACTTCACATAAACTCAAGCGGGCGAAGTTGTTGATTTTTTAATTAAAAAGCTACATGAAAGAAAGGCGTGAATAAACGCTGAGCTTTATATATATATACACATAAAGTGAAAGACAGTTATTTGAAATTGTAATCGTTAAATAAAATAAAAGCTGAATTTTTATTTTAGCAAGAAATTTATTTAACAACACATAGTTTAGATAATTGTTGTGTATAGAAAATATAAAGAAAATTATTATACATATAAATATATTTAGCAATATAAATAGAATAAATAAAAAATCTTATTTATACATATATACAACATATTACATTACATATATAGAAAATATGAACTCATTAAAAAAATATATCTCATAATTTTTACAATTTGGGCAAGAGAAATGATATGAATTGTTTCAACGCAATGAATATTGTTTAATAAATAAATCATATAAATAATTGCTTAATTAGATTAATGTAAAGAGCACCTATTTATATTTATTTATATTTATATTTGCTACATGCATGACATGTAATCAGCTTTTATATTAAATCCACATTAAGTCCTAATCAGATTCTCCGTTTTTGCTTTCGTGTCTCTGATGCTTTTTAAACGACCATTTAAAGTCGTTCAAAAAGCAAACGCCAACAATATCTAGAGCAACCCACTAAACAAGCCATTTGTGTGCATGTTTACGAAGTAAAGAGAGTATACAGGGTTAGTGTTATTTGGAAAATAGTGCAGACATGAGGCAATAGAAGATTTTAGTGCTGCAATCACGAAGCCTTGCCAAGTCTTGATTAGTTTTACATGCTCAGATCCCTAAAATGTTTAAAGATCTTTAATATTGAAGCGAATATCTACATACAATTAGTTTTCCTAAACGAGTATTATGCAGTCAGTCATTGTCACTCAGCATAATTTTCTTACTTGTTTTCAATTGGGTCAGCTTTTGTTGTTGTTTTGTTTCACTATGTAGTGGTTTCTTGTATGTATATATATATACATACATATATATTTTTTGTTTGTTTTTTGTTTTGCAGTTAGCTCACAAATAGAGCAGCCATTGGACAGCATTTTACTTTTCACATTTCACATTTCGCCTAGTTTTCTTGTTGGCTGCTCGGGAAATTAGCATTAGAGCTCATTAGCATTTCTTTTTATATGCTAAATGCTAAATGCTAGCACTCAAAACAGCATTCAAAGCAAATGCAACCACTGCCAAGTTCAAAAGTGAGGAAAACTCAAATGAAATCTGAATGAAAACGAAAAACGAGAAACGAAAATGTCGAAAAGTGAAAATCCAAAATGAAAATGAGAATGGAAAATGGAGAATGGAGAATGGGAAATGGCAACGCTTAGTGTGAAAGCGAGCGAGGCGCCAAGCTAAAACTATAGCAGAAAATAAATAATAAAAAAAAAACACAAATTAGAAGCAAATCAAAATGAATGCCAGATGAGAGCAATAAAAGTAAAAGCAAAGAGTCTAGGAGTGTGGCTATAAGGGAATGTACGGCTAGTGAATATCCTATAATGCTGTGATATTAGATACAATTTAGTTGGTTGTGATAGATAAGGAGATATGGGAGAGTCGACTTTAAAAATTCTAATTATCATTTTCATTTACATAAATGCCCAATTAATCTTAGTGCCTCATTTATATTTTAAAATTAAAAATAATAAAGTAATTATATAAAATATATTCTATAAATGCATTCTCACAGAAAACAATATACCCACTTTAAGCATTCACCAAATGCTGCAGGGTATTGCACAAATATGTGAATGGGCGCAAAGCAAATGTGCTGCAAAAAAAGTGTAGCATACTTTCTAGGGCGCGATATTTTGATTTTTATGCTTTTGGGCTGTTGACTTTGACGGGGCGCGTTTAAATGAAATGAAATGAAAATGAAAATGAAATCTACTTAAATTAATGAAATCAATTCCAGTTACTGCTGCTAGCCATTTGCTGTCTGTTTGTTGCCTGCTGCCGATTGCTGCTAGCCGCCGCCTCCTGCCTGCTGTTTGTTTGCCCATTTGCTTGCTGTTGTTTTTCGTCAGCCACACACTTGAATGTTTTTGTGTTTTACAGCAAACGCTGTGGTTGTTGTTGTTGGGCTGTGAAACTGTGATTGATTGATTGATTGTCTGTCATTTTGAATACGGCAAGCCTGTCGCTGCGTCGCGACGCGTCGCTGGCCTAGTTCAATGTGGCGTATAGATTTTGTCTTCTGTTTGCCTTTTGGATTTATGGCTAAATGCGTGTAATGAATGTTGCGCAACAACAATGCGCAGCCTTATTAATAACGAGCGCTTCTCCTATTGTCGTTGTTGTTGCATAATAAAATCAAATAATAAATAATATACAATGGCTCGGAAGCAGCCATAAATATCAGTTACGCGTATTTTATTATCTGCAACTGAGCCGAAAATGCTGAACAGGCGCAAAAATCTTTGAAAGCACTTGATGTGCCACCCGCCTCCTGTCAGAACTTCTGCTACGGATACTGCTGCTGCTGCTACTGCTGCTCTTGCTCCTGCTACTGCTCCTACTACTGCTTCTGCTTCTGCTCCTGCTCATGCTGTCATTTCGTTTGCCTTATTGAATTGTTTGCCATATTCCCCATCGGATTTGCTGGCACGCGCGCGCGTGCCTGAGACTGAAGTCCATGGCATTTATTGTCTGTGGCGCACAAATAATTATGTCTATGTTTAGGCTACGGCTTTGGCTTACGCATTTTGGCCATTGGCTCTCGGCCCTAATGAGCTTTCCATGTTTTCACAAATTTTATTGCCTGCACTTACCAATTATCGTGACGAGTATCATCAGGCCGAGCAGCACCGTTGTGATGGCCATGCGCAGCAGCTGCGTGAAGTCATCCTCGGCCACTTTGCTGGCCGTCACATTGATCGCTGCGCTGCCATTTAACAGCGTCCCGCTGCCATTCACCACATCGCCAAAGATGCCCAGCCCCCCCGTCTCGTTGCCCAGGCCCTCCAGCAGCAGCGTATCGTTCAGCAGCATCGCACCCAGGCCGACAGCCACATTCGTATAATTATTGTCCGCACTTTTGCTGCCGTCGGCATCGATCAGGTCGATAGCCGCTTTGCTGCCCAGCGCCCGATGCGCCGCCTTGGCGGTTATGCGCGCTGCAGCCGCCGCCACCGAGGCGCTGGCCGCAGCTGCTGCCAGCGCTGCGGTCGCCAGCGGCGAGCCAGGTGAGCTATTGGGGCTGGGAAAGCTCGGCGAGCTGCTGTTCGCATTGTTCTCCAAGGCAGCCGCGGCCGCAACAGCTGCCACAGCTGCCGCCGTATTCGGAAAGTCGCCATCGTTGTAGTATTGACTGTTGTTATTGCTGTCGCCGCCATTTAACTGCGGCTGCTGCTGCTGCTGCTGCTCCTCCTCCTCCTCCTCCTCCGCCTGCTGCATCATATCCTCATCGGCTGGCTCGTCGGGCCGCGGGTCGGCTATCAGATAGGCCTTGCTATCCATGCTGTTGGCTATGTAGATGTAGTCCAGCGCGTCTGCAATTGAAATTGAAATTTTATTCGATTAGCTATATCAATTTAATGAGATTTAATGTTGCCTATGTGAATGTGCTAAAGGTGCTTAAATAAGTTAATGAATATTGATGGTTTATTGAAATTAATATAATTTGCTTAGTTATCATTTAATATTCTATAACTTATATAAATCTAAGCTGGGTTAGATTCTACAATCCATTAGAGGCTCTGAGAGGCTGAAGTCTTCGCTGCACTCACATTATCAGAAATCGATAACTTATATCACAAATCGATCAGTTATATCATAAATCGATAATAACTAATATCATAAATCGATAGCTTACATCCCAAATCGATAACTTAAATCATAAACTGATCAATTATATCAGAAATTGATCATTTAAATAATTAATCGATAATTTATATCATAAAACGATATAAAAATCGATTCATTTGGGTTTGCAGCGTAATTTGACATACAATTTTATTTATTTATCTAATAATTTATCTAATAAATAAGGGATATTGACTTAAAGATAACAAGTTTAAATTTACTTTAAGAATTTCTGCAAATATATATTTTTGCCAGCTAGAGTTTATTAATAACTATTCGATAAATAAATTGACAATTTCATTTCATTATTAAGCATGTTTGAATGCCATAAGAAATGCAAGTTATAGGTTTACTGTGTTACTTTATGTAAGCAATATGCATATGCATTGATTAATTGAAATATTGAATATCTCGTCTCCTACGCCCTCAAATTGTCAAATACTAGAGGCTTGTACTTTGGCTTACATATATACAAGTATATGCATATATACACATCTGTATACCCATTTAGACACATCTCTACACACATATAACATTATCACGCTCTGAAAATTTGCTTAAGAAAATCCCTCTAGAACAAAGTTCAAAGTTATTCAATAACTAATTTCGCATGGTAAAGCTCATAAGCGCAAGCCAAGCCCTAAAGCTGCATAAATTGCGCAGTAAGCAGAATGCGAGCTAATGTGTGCCTGTGTGTGTGTGTGTGTGTGTGTTTATATACATATATTATTCACATATATCAGCTGCTCTTCTCTACACTACATTTAGGGTATCTGCTAGTCACTCACTCCCACCTAACTTGTTCCATCTACCTGCACTTAATGAGTTAAGAGCCCGCATTTAACATATTTAACAAATTTATTTAAGTAAATGTAATTTAAATGCAAATCGAGTTTATAATGGCTTTAAAAACTTTTCACTTAGAATTTAGCTGCTGCTACTTATGATTATTAACTATTTCTTGTTGTTGTTGTTGTTGTTTTTGTTCATGTTACGTACCATTAAAGTTGGTCGCTCGCGCCATTCTTATTGCAGTTGTAGTTGTTGTTGTTTTTGCCGTTGTTGTTTTGTTGCAGGTTAGAGGGTAGTTGGCTTAATTGCAGCCGCAGCGGAAATGAGGCGAGTGAGCGTAGACGGAAGCGGAAGCGCGACTATGCGACTATGCGACTATAGCAATGGCAATGGCAATGGCAATGGCCGGGCAGAGGCGACAGTTGAAGCTACTCAGACGGCTCAGTCGTTGCTGTTGTACGTACATGATGATGATACACACTCACAGAATGAGTGAGTAAGAGGGTGGGAGAGAGAGGCAGCCAGGCAGGCAGGCGGGCGGGCAGGCACAGGCAGGATGTATTCTGTTAACGAGCTTTTGAGTGTTTACACGAAGTCTCGTTTACAGTTTTCGGCTTTCACTTTTCTTTTGACAACTTTGCTGCTGCTATTGTTGTTGTTGTTGTTGTTGTTGTTGTTGTTGTTGTTACTGTTGCTGTTGCTGTTGCTCTGGCAGTGTTGTATACGTGTGCTGTATTACCAAGCTCTGCCTGTACTTTTCCTCTTTTTGCACTCCTTTTAAGCTCTTCCGTTTGTTCGCATGTGTTATGGCTCGTTTATGCGCTATTTTCATATCCTCAAAGTGAATTTCACATCCGCCAGCAACATAACTCAACTTCACTTTACTCTCTAGTTGTTCTCGTTGTTGTTGTTGCTGTTGTTGCTGTGAACCTGCTGTGGGCGTGGGCCAGCATGGCCCGCATTAAACCGCATTCGTTCGCCCAGCTGCAAATGGAAATTCAATTAGAATAAAATTATGTTTCTGTTTGTGTTAGCTATCGAAATTCAAATATTTTACAGCTAAATAATTTCCTATCTAAAGTCGTCACAATTTATTGCACATATATCAATTTCCTGCAGCAAGTGCAAATGAATTTGAATATTTCTTTCACATTTGCTTGTTAAATAATTTAGCGCGATTTTTTCTTTACAATTACACGCGATAAATAAAAATGAAGGCGGGCATGCCACTTGTTTTCATTTCACAGTCACAGTCGCAGTCCTTCCCACACCAACACACACACAGACGCATGAATGTATGTATGTGTGGCCGGAAGTTTGCGTGCGTGCGACAGGCGCCATCGCTAGCGGCAGCTCGCTGCAGCCATGAAATAAATTTAAAACGCATAAAAAGGAAGCAAGTAAGCATTAAGTAAGAGTGTTCGAGTCGAGAGTGCAGACCAGTCGGTACTCTATTTGAGTGTCTCGGGTATTGAAAGAGGTATTTAGTAAAGAACATTAGTTTATTCTAGATATGCCTTAGTATAATGTGAATGCCAATTTCACTACCTACAGATTTTATAGACTTCGAGCTATGCGAAATAAAAGACGATTCATCATCCAATACCTGCAATATCTCTATATTCTCGGGAGGTATTGTATATATATTATATATTTATCTAGGCTAAGTGTGTATACCAAATTTACTACCTCTACCTTTTATAGTTCTCGCTAAGAGGATACTCGTAACCTGAATATAATGCGTGTTTGAAGAGGCATTTAAAAAAGATAATAGTATTACTCTGTGTATGACTTAGGAGAGCGGTGTATACTAAAATTACTATCTATAACAAAGATGGTCTTTGAGTTATGACAGAGAAAAACAAAGTCCTTAAGCCAATTTCCACAGTTATAGATGAATGAAGATATAGAGGAAAAGCTATGCATGTTCAAATAATAACTAATAACTATAATGGAGAAGAAAGACTAGGAAATACCCTATAGAGGCAGCCATAGGAGGAGAATAGAGTAGGTACTCGAAAAAGACAATATTTTCATTCTATCCAGACATTGTCTGATTAAATATATAATACTAATAATTTGATCTCTCTCTCTCATGTTTTCGAGTTATGGCAAATCCTTCAATTAACTTTTATTGTACCCTTGACTTATATGCACTTCTAGGCCTACTTCGGTTCACTTCTCACACTTTAACATAATCCATATACCCTCCTTCGCACAATTTCAATGAGTGTGTGGGGCATAAAAATGTGGCAAGCATAAAATCGTAGAAGCCAAGAGCAGCGCAACGGCAAACGTAGTAAAATGTCAACGCATGCTTATGTGTGTCTTCTTTCTGTGTGTGTGTGTATGGATAGTAAATGTAACTGTATAGCATGTAATACTTATATAGTTTATACTTATATATCTACATGTACAACTATATATATCTATGTTTATCTAGTATATATTGCGGCGCCATAAACGCGTCGCGAAAATGTTGCATGCGTAATGTGAGTGCCGTCTATCGCTCGGTTTATAGCTCACATAAGGCTACCATCGACTGTGGCAACAAAAGGCGCTTTGTTAGCCCCACCCCCTCCCCCTCAGCTGCTACTCTTTGCTCTGCTTCTATATGCTGAGGTTGACTCTATAACAAATAGTTGGTTTGCATAGCCCCTAAAGATTTATGTGATCCGCATGGCTGCATGTGCTTAACTGAGGCAATTAGCAAGTGTGATATATATTTTGAATGCCTTTTAAAGTAATTGCTGTAAATGAATTTATGGTGAAGTGGGCCACGAGAAAGATAAATGGATGATATGTCATGTGATACAGGTGGAGGTAGAATGTCAGAGAAGCTGTAGATAGTTGGTGAGAGGCACGCAGATAGAGAAGGAGAGAGAAGGAAAGAGAGAGATGAAAAGGGAGATGGGGAAGAAGAGTGATAGAGAGATTGTAACTGTAAGAAAGTGATGGGAATAGAGACATACATGTAAGTGTAGAAGAGAGAGGTATGATGATAGAAAGGTAGAGAAAGAGAGACAGTAGAGACATCAATCATATGCTTTCTCGCTATCTCCCTTTGGCCCTCTCTGTCACTCTCTCTTCTTAGAGAGATATTGAGAAAGCGAATGATTGAGGTTTACAGATGAAGAGAGAGTGAGATACATATGAAGAGTGGGAAGTGAAGACAAAGAATCGATCTTATAATAAATATACCATCAGATTATTAGAAAGAAGTCGATAGATGAAGGGATAGATGATGCTGAGATATCTAGTCAGACAGACTAGCAGAAAAACATCTACCAGGAGTGAGTCAGGGATGACTTCCTTTCAGCCGTTCAATATCAATCCTTCTATTATTTGTTGTAGTAGAAATATATACATAAGATTATTTAGCAGACATTGAAAATTTCTGAGGCACAGTAAATTGTTGCATATGAAAGAACATTGAAAGTAAACGAAAATGATTTCTGAATAAATGCTTTGTCCATGCCAGCATAATTAATTAAAAAAACAAAAATTAAAATATAACTCAAAGTCAAAGCCGAGCTTTCAAATAAAAACATACTCAAAAATTCTAAGAAATGCTGCAGCTATCAAAACTGCATTTATAATTGCCCAAGAGAGCCACTCAATTAGGAAAGTTACTTTTAATTAGACTTTCCACTCTCTAAATCTAAGAAAAATGCATTTCAAATGGAAATCATATTCATTTTACCGTTGCAGCTGCATTCAACACATTTAGCATAAATACATTTCTGTTTTTTTTTTCCTTGATTTATTCCCTGGCCAGGTTTTAATTGGGCTGTTCGTTTGAGGCATTTTGTGCATGCATGGCAGCCAATTAATATGCAAGTTTTGTGCTTGCACTTGTCAAATTGGATTTGCGTTTAGTTTTGGGAACATCGTCAACTCTGCTAATTAAATGCAGCAAAGGTAGCTGCTGAAACTAATGCTGATGCAGATGTTGATGCTGTTGCAGTTTGCCAGTTGCCATTTGCCGTTTGCCGCTTGCTCTTTGCATCGTCTCAATTGCAGCTTCAATTGCAGGCAAGGAGCTCATTAAAAGTTTGCATTAGTTAGCACACAAAACACATGTACTTTAGCTTTACCTGTTACCCTTTATTTCTCTGCTCACGCTCCCTCCCTCTCTCACTTTCACTCTCCCCCTCTCTCTCCCTGTTTACGTATTCATGTGGCAAAACAAGTCCTGAGCTGATTGGCAATCGCATTCGCTTTCGAGTAGCTTCTTTCGACTAAACAAGCTACGAAAAAAAAACGTAGCATACTTTGCAGGGCTGTCGATTTACCTAACGTTCGTGCACGTGCACAGACTTTAGCTGTGCACTGATTCAACACAAATAAACACACACACACTGACACACACTTTCATACATGCCCACCCACCCACATACCTTTGCCTTTGCCGGCATTTTCCCTGCGCAAAATTTTGTTGCAATAATTTTGCATGTTTAAATATTAAAAGCAAATTGCTAACTGAGCGCTTTCACCTTCAAATGACAGCGAAAACAACAACAACAACAACAACAGCAGCAACTAGAACTGCAACTGCAACACTTTATAGTGTAAGTATAGGCAAGTCTGTGTGTGTGTGTGTGCGTCCCTGTAACTAAACATTTTCAAGTTCAAAGTCGATTTAATGCGGAAGTTTATGTCAGCCATGAGATTTCAAGGCAACACACAGGCACACACACACACACACACACTGTGGCTATATGTGCTGCGGTTGCAAAGTGGCATACAGCAAGGGCATTCGGGAGCTATTGTGGGCGGGCTTAACTGAACTGAACTGGGCCTCAGCATGGGCCTGGGTCTGGGCCTCCGCCTCAGCCTGGCCAGTTGCGAGCGTGCGGCGCGCGCGTTTGAAGTGCATTTGAGTGTGAAGACGACACATGTCATTTAAATGCACACCTGTCTACGTGTCAGTGAAGCTGTGCATGTGTGCGTGTGTGTATATACATAAATGTATGCGTGTGTGACTGTGGCTATGCAGCTGCCGAGTGCACTTGTTGCGGTTGGCTAGTAAGTAGTTCAGCAGCAGCGCGAGCCACTGCGACTGCATTTATTATGCATGTGCATAGCTGTAATTGTGTGCGTGTGTGTGTGTGTGCTTCGCTTTTTATAGCTCATCGTATATTTATGCAGCTTGGCCTCTAAGCCACGCATGCATTAGCATTTTCCACTGTACTTTGTTGAACTACAAGCTTGGCCTGGCCCCACAGCGCACAAAATTCGTTTGTTTTTGCTACAAACTACAGATATATATATATCTAAATGGTATTACATAGTAAATCCTTTGATGTAACAGATTTTGATGCACTAGAATTTGTACAAATATTTAGCTTAACTTTTTAATACCGAATATTTCTAATATAGAAAATAAATATATTTATGGATATATGTAACTAAATGTTTTTTTTTTCTTTTTAAAAAATCATATTGCATTATAATTTATTTGATTAAATTTTGTTTTTAAATAATTATAATTATATTGAATTATTAGAATTACGAAGTTCTTTTTTATTTTTGCATTTTTTTTTTTTTTTTTTTTTAATATTAATATTTCTTTTTAGAAAATTATATTCATATAATAAAATTATATATTATATAGTAAAATTGTTGTAATTTTTTTTATATATATGTATATCAAATAAAACTATTATATATTTACTAAATGTATTATTTTAGTTAAATTAACATGTATTTATATTTTACTTTTAATTTCCTTATTTTTTAGATTCAATATTTTTCTATTTAATTTAATTTTATTTTTAAAATTCGTTTTATTTGTATTATCATTTTTATATCAATTAAATTACATTTTTTATATCAATTAATATAAAATTTTTATTTTTGTGAGACTTAATATTTTTAATTAATAAAAAAAACAGTTAAGTTCTTTTGATTTTTAAAGTTTAAGGCAATTATTACTTGCTTGAATTCCAATTATTTTCAAATATATTTTCTATTCACTTTGA